GTCGCTCTTTCTTAACATGGATATTTTGTCCACGGATTGGTGTCGGTTTGCGAGTGATTAGCAATCGTTCGTAACTTTCGTCACATTTCATTAGTTAGCTCACCCACTGTATCATCCAACCCTATCGACACATATATGCATGCGTAAATATGTTTGAAGTGTGTTCGCAAATCGACTTACGGGGCTGTTCGACCTGTTGTGCTTTGGGTCTCGGTCTAGAGTTTCATAGGCATTCTCACATCGATTGGTACTACGGCCAGGACGACATTACCCACAGAGGCTATGGAAACTGAGCTAGCCTTTTAACCAACAGGGCGACGGGCTCGTGGGTCAGTGGTTAGAGGTGTGGACTTCTAGCTAACAGGTCGCGAGTTCGAGCCTCGGGTGTTCCACATTTCGGGCTTGGGTATGACTGGCTGACGACGGCTAATAAGCCAGAAATGACCATTCCATTCTCCCTTGTCTTTGTCGGTAACATCATTCTGCCTTTATCATGCGCCGCTGTGCGGCTGCTGGTTGGGCTCGAGAGAGAGCCCGTAAGGCACAGCGGAACGAGTAAGTTCTGTAAGAACGATCGGTGAGCGCTCCCTACCACATTTAACCATCGTCAGCCAGCTTTATTCAACGCAAAGTTCGGGAGTACCTGAGGGTCGACTCCGCGTTCTTTTACCCATTAAGCATTAGTAAGTCTAACGTTTTGACCATTGAGCCGGGTGTCCGTTGTCCTGTTAATTTCGATCGGGCATATTAACTATTTTCAAAGTAAAATTATTTAGAAAATAAGGTAGCTTTTACTGCACAAATTCTCGAGGCTGAGTCCATAGAACGTAGTCAGACGTATAGGCCGTCTGAAAAAAAACAGTCAACAACTTGGCCGTGTAAATGAAAAGACTGATGGACCACTACATGCCTCAATTTGTCGCAAAAAAAGACATTCCCAGAGGTCATCCTACCTTATGTGAGTAACCATGCTGTCTCTCACAAACAGAATCCTGTCTACGCCCTGCTAAACTGAGCTAAGACTCACGGTCCGGCCAAGAAAGTTATCAGACAGATAGAAAGTGCCTTTTTAGATTACTTCCCCGAAGTTGGTACTTCCTCAAGGTTGTGCGTCAGTGCATGGGGCATCAAGAGTTCAAAGCTATTCCCCACAATACGGCCACCCAGACGCCAAAAACAATCACTAGCGAACTTTTCCTCATGTGGAAAATGTAGGTGAGCTTGTCGAAAGACGGTGAAAAATATCAAATATATTAAGCGCACAAATTCATGCCCACTTTACGCGCACAGCTTGGGCAGCCTCGGAACAGGGTAGGCTACTTAGATGTAAAAGGTGTTGTCTACGAAACCCCGCTAACCAGTTGCTTTGAAGTCGGTTGTGGTCAGACTAAGAAATCTGCATCCATTCGTAAACACGAGCATCAGCTAGCGGTGACGAGGCAAGACGATCTATCTCCGGTGGCAATACATACATCGAATATTTTGCGCCTATTTGTGTGGGACGACACGCGCATTGTCGGGGCCCTGTCAATAAAGGAAAGCCGTGAATTCCCCGAGGCAAAGCACTCAGTTGAGGCTTATATCAAAATGTATACCGATCTGGATGTCATCAGCTTAGTTTGCAAGGACAAGGGGAGAAGAGCGCGGTTAGCTCGATGGGATGACGGGCCACAATGAACGCGCATTAGCCCAGACTTCAAATAAATAATCGTTTTTATATATGACCCGCGCGTCTGCCGGCGAGTCGTAACTTGATAACTAATACGAATGCAAACCTTATGGAGGTAATGTGGCTCCTTCCTGATGAAGGATTTGAAAAGTGCTTTTATTTTGCTTTTTTCTTCTTGAATACCGTGTACCGAAAATATGTTTTTATCATCAGCTATAGTCACAGCAAATGCAAGAGAAAACAGTCGATCTCAGCCAGCATCACTGAAATACTCAGTGGTACTTTGGCTGAAAAAAGACTTTTACTATACTTAAGTGGGACTGAATTATGTGGCCCCCTAAACAGGGCAGGAGTATAGGTGCGTCCCATCAAGTGATAAAGATAGACCTGCACATAATTCCGGAAACGCCAAAATATTGCCTCATTCTAACCCCAACAATGACCCTAATATAAACTAAACCGTTACCCTAATCCTACCCTAGACTTTAACTCTGCAGTTAACACTAGTCCCCACATTAACCCTAATCTTGATTCCGACTTACCCTACCACTAACTTAAAAACTAACCCTAAATCTAATTCTTTACCTAACCCTAACCTTAGACCTAAACCTTACTTAACCAGAAGTTTGCTCAAAGCCACCCGTATTGTAGGCTGTTCCTATTCCATTGTCCGTTCAGGGGACCATTCAACTCAGCCCTACCTAGTCTTATTCCATTCCGTCTACTAAACATTTTGAGCAGAACTGCAACGCTCCTCTTTGGGGATTAAATCATGAAAGAGTACTTCCTGCCCTTGGAAAAGCCTTAGGAGCCCGAAGGAAATTTTCTCGAAGAGCGGCAGCCTAAGCAATAAGGCTGGCTACAAGTAGTGAATTGCCTTCTTGTTATTTGAAATTGCAGTAAGAAGGTTCTGCATTAAATTTCAGGAAGAATACCTACAGTGAGTGACTGATCTCATGAAATGTTGGCCAAAATTCTGAAATGTGTTTTTGATTGAGAAGGATTACTTAGGCGCGGTTGTAATGCCGATTATCTTGCGGCATAATCCTATAATATTTCGGATTCGGCAGGATGTCAGCTTTTGAATGCACTGCTTTCCAATCTCCTGTAGAAACTTTACTCGGTAAAAATGACTACTTAAATAACGTGAATTTTTCACATTGATTTTCGACGGCCTTGCAAATTCAAATATTTTTATAGAAACCACGAATAAAAGTAGGCCTTCTTTCAGTCGTTTGATGGAGAATTGCGTAATCTTTATATTTTTTACTCGAAGAATGAGTATAAGTAGGTTTTGAAAAAGTTTTCTGGTTGCCGAATAATTTGGAACCTGATTATTCGTTGCACTAGCGCTAAGTGATTTCAGTCTATAAGGTGCATGCGTTCCGCGTAAGGTAAATCACGTTTTCTTCTTCGAATTTAAAAAGATTTCATGCAGATTGCATGAAATTTTACGATGAATGTGCACTATGTTGTACATTTGAGGGGCAGTGGTAAAAGGACAGGTACGATACTATAGGAATGGACATTGCGCCTTAAAAAGTTTCATAATTAAAAACCTTTTAAAACCTAATTATACTACTTTTCGAGTAGAAAATATAAAGATGACGTGATCTTCTACCAAACAATTGAAGGAAGGCCTATTTTTGTTCGTGGTTCCTATAAAAGATATTTGAATTTGCAAGGCCATCGAAAATCAATGGGAAAATGCTGGCTACTTAAGTGGCCATTTTTTACCGAGTATGGTTTTTACAGGAGATTAAAAAGCAGTGCATTTAAAAGCTGACATCCCGCCAAGTCCGAAATATAGCAGTATTATGCCGCAAGATAATCAGTATTACAACCGCGCATAAATAATCCTTCCTAATCGAAAACGCATTCCAGAATTTCAGCCAACACTTCATGAGATCGGTCACTCAGTGTATTCCCCTGTCCAACCCAGCAGTTCGACCGTCCTTAACGACCATGTCCTGACAGTTCTACCGTCATTCCCGACGACGTCCATCGCGTGCTCCACAACGAGGTGAGAGCAGACGCGGTGACTTGCGCATAAACTAGTTTATAGTGGTGGTAGGCTTGCACGGCATCCATCGCACTCTGTCCTTCCCCACCCCGTCTGGGTCTGGTGTCAAGACATAGTCAAGAAGACCGAAGGCGGGAGAGAGCGCAGATGGCCGAACCCGCGCCTAGGCGTGCCACCACACCCCCTGGTCCACAACAAACGCTTCACTTGCATATCAACCAGCAACTAAAATGGGCCAAAGGACGGAGGGGATGATATAGGTCACTGGGCAATCATGCACGCGACCTGTATACTCAGCGGGATAGCAAGCGCATCCACCGGCAGGAGACCAGGTGCCAGAGAGCTATCAGCGGGGGTCATGGCTTGCCGAATCATGGCATAGCAGACACAAACAATCCCTAAGGCCAAACGACACTGTCTACCGTGTGCCTTACAACCTCGTGGGCGCAGGGACGGTGACGTGCGAATAAATTAATTCATTGTGTTAGTAGACTTACGTCACGCCTACCTCACTCACCTGAACCCGATGTGTGCTGCCCGAGGAAAGATTCGTTCGGCCCGCAATACAGGTGGCCTTGTACACACTCCCGTACCCTAACCCTAAAACTAACGTTAACGTCAATCCTAGGCTCAACCCTAGCCCTTAACCCAATTCTGGCCTTGAACATGAGCCTACTCCTAACCCTAGCCTCTCCAACACAGAACAAAACTTCAACTCGAGTGCTCAAATAGGCGATTAGTTCTAACCACTCTCCGTTTCGGCATCCGAATTGGACTTTTTCTAAAAACAGGCGATATCTGAGCAACTCCTCTCGAATCCAGGGAAAACCAGGTCTTTTCTAGCCTTTCCTTTTTAAGCGAGTCATATTCCGGCCGTTGTTACGGAGAGGGCGATTCTCAATATGCTATGTGCGTAGTTGCATGGGTCAAGGCTGTCTTTTGGCTAACTCGGGAATCCTATGCCGGGAAAGGACCACCACAAACCGTTTTTATTATCCAAGACTTTTCGGGCTATGCTTTCTGCCAGCAGGATAAGGCAAATTTTGGTACGGCCAGTCTCTGAGAATAGGGAAGGAACGTGAGGCTGCAATTTCATTAAGATACAGTCAGCTAACTATGAGATCATTATGTATTTGAGGAAGAAGTGGACAGAATAATGAATATTTTGGATTGCAAATTGCAAAAATTACAGGGCATGATTTTGTTACATAGAGTTACTGCAAACCGTGTCTTTGTTCATGACATAATTAGAGATTACGCTAGAGAGCAGGGCCTGGATGAGGATACTTGGAGTAATTAGCCAAATCTTCATTTCGGCAAGTCAGCATTGTCTTTAAAGTCAATCCCAAAAATCCCACAGCGATTCTTCAAGAATATGGTGGTGGTGTTAGTGGTGGTGGTGGTGGTGGTGGTGGTGGTGGTGGTGGTGGTGGTGGTGGTGGTGGTGGTGGTGATGGTGGTGGTGGTGGTGGCGGCGACGGCGGCGGCGGCGGCGGCGGCGACGGCGGCGGCGGCGAGGGTTGTGGTTTTTTTTACTGTTTTTACCATGAGTTTTACATTTGTGAGTCACGGTTTGCATGCATTTGACTTGGTCCCGGCATTTGTTTAGGGCACTTTTCCTAACTCCCTTTTTCAGTCAAGTGATCTTACTTACATTTATTGTTTTCTCTTCACCGCGGCACCACAAAAGCATGTTCATTACAGAAAAGTCGTGGATGTTGTATTTTCTGACAAAACATATTGCAGCGTCTGTGAACATAGTAGTCGGGAGAGCTTTTTGAGACAGATTGCAGGAATTCAGTAATTTCCTACGGAGGACCGGCGATTTTAAACTGTCATGTAGTAAACGTGGTCTATCCAGAAACTTTTAGAACCGACTGTGCGAAAACAGGGTACTCATGCACTCATAGAATGTCTAATACGGAACGGTTTGAACGGCCGGCTTCCCGAATTCACAGTGGGTTCTCTAGCCCTGAGGTTTTGCCACCAAACCTTCTAGCTGAGCGAATTTCTTCATAATTTCTTCTTTCTGATTACAAGGAAAAACAAATGTTACTTGAGTGACTGGCCAACTGAAGTCGTAACTAAAATCTCTTGATCTATGGGAATGTAAAGTGTCCCCGAGGAGCTTGCGGGCTAACCAATTCGTCAGTTTAATGGTCAACGCGCTTGGTAAAGCAGGCTCTGAGAAAGCAATTATCATCCGTTGGCAAAAGACATTCAGATTACCATCAATTCGCTCAGTGAGCCCGAGGGGGGAGACTTGATTCAGCACTCTACCTTGCGAGTAGAAGCTCGGGTAGTAACCGACGCTAATTCGAAAGGTTAGTGGTTCGATCCTACTTCATAGCTAGCGTCTGCTGGCCTTGTCAGCTTCTTCGTTTTCCACATTCTCCCAAGACAGCTGACCCATCATAGTCGGTCGTTCAAGCCCATCCATCCTAGCATGCTCCCCTCCCCCCTCACGGTCGCGTGTCACTTCATCCCCGCCCCTCAGCCGTGCCTCCCATTAACCCATGCACTTGACCCTTAACCATGCACTATCTGGCCTATCTCATGCAACGTTAACTGAAATTCCGAAATGCGTTTTCCATTAGGAAGGATTGCGTAGGCGGTGCTGTTGTACTAATTATAGTGCGGTATAATCCCATTATATTTCAGACAGGCCAGTATGTCGGCTTTTGAATAATCTACTTTCTTACAGTCTGCAAAAACCATACTCTACAGAAAATAACTACATAATCAACATGCATGTTAAACATTGATTTTTGATACCCTTGTAGATTCAAATATACAGAAAATGTACACATATCTTCTCTCTCGTAGTCACTTTGTAGGAACTAACGTCTTCTTCACATCTCATACAGGGAGGTGGAGAAACCTTTGGTTTTAACAGTTTATGTTTCTCGAATTTTTTGAGACTGTGAGCTGTTTGTTCGTAGGTAATCGTTTCTGTGCATTTATTAACGCTGCTCACGAAATATAAAGCATGATACACATCCATTGCAGAATTTTCGAGGCCCATCTGACCTTTCATTAATAACGTAAAGTAAAGTTCGAAAGACCGGTTGGCAAGCCTGTGGGTGTTTCCCACAAATTCACATCGGACCAGTACATTTATGCGAGAAGGGAGTAGAAGTAAAACATGCGAGTGTTAAGATAGATCGACTACTGTTCGTCTTTTCATGCAGTCGGGGTGTAAGAATAGGGGGAGGGAGGTAAGAAGAGACAGTGAGTTACGAGGCAGTGAGGGTCAGGTAGAAGGGGGGAGGCGCGGTGAAGCGGATGCAGTTAATCGATTGTTGGCCACGGCAGATGTAAAGCTTGTAGCAAATTCATTTGAGCGCACAAGACGGACCTTCGTAACTTGATAGCAGTCGCTTCAGCTGTTGCTGGCAGACACTGACCCAGTGCCTTAGGGCAGTTGGGCGGGAAGGCCCTGCTGAGATCCACAGCAATGTGTGCGACAATGGAGGGTTGTTTATGCTTTCAATTTCACTTTTTCTCAGTCATGCCAAGAGATGTTCCAGCATTATTTCGGATAAGTGCCCACTCGTGCGACAAATATAACCCGCATCACAGGATCAAGTGAAGGAGTAAATACGCATTAGGGGTGGCCTGAGCCGGTTACCCATCCCTGCCTTCGTGTAAAGCACAGCTGGCTGAGAATAACACCCAAACTCTTGCCATCGGGGAGGTTCGAGAAACAGCCTGGTCAAGGCGTCTTATCAGGGGTCCACTCGAACAGAGTTCTCATTTCGGCCATCAGGGTAATTGGTTTTGCGTATCTTTCGGTAATACTGGGAGAAAACCTGATCTGGACAGTATATAGAACTTTGCAGTTTTGTACCCCTCCAACAGAAGTGCGATCTACTTCGTTGTTTGTCCTGAAGGGCTGGAAATATCTGTTCGGCAGACAGCGTCAACGTGGAATTTAGAAAGATCCAGGACCTGCTTCGCGAGGACGGGTATTCCGACAGATTTATTGCAAAAAGTATCGAGACAGCTTCAAACCCAGCATGCTGACGGCGCGAAAGAACACTTTTTCCTCCAAAGTCTTCAAATATCGAGAAACCCTTAGGGCAAGTTCAAGATTATTCGGGAATAAAAATTTTTTTGAAAATTAAAGATTCTCTTCCTTTCGTTACGGAATTTGGAGTAAACGTTATCTACTATCTAACAAGTGCAAGAAAGAATATACTTGTGCGACTTTTCTTTAAAACATATTTGAACTTAGGGGACATCCAAATTCAATGGGGAAAATGTATAGCAATTACATTTTCATTTTTGCGGACTGTAGTTCTCGCGGGCGGTCAACGGACAGTTTCCTGACGCGACTGACATATCTTGGAATTATGCTGCGCAATGATTTGTAGTACAGCCCGATCAAATATAATGCGTGACCGATCTCATGAAATGTTGGCCAAAATTCTGAAATGCGTTTTCGATCAGGGAGGATTACTTAGGCGCAGTTGTTATACTGATTATCTTACGATATAATCCTACAATATTTCGGACTCGGTAGGATGTTAGCTTTTGAATGCACTGCTTTTCAATCTTCTGTAGAAGCCGTACTCGGCAAAAAATAACTACTTATGTAGCATGCATTTTTCACACTGATTTCCGATGGTTTCTAAAATTAAAATATATTTTATAGAATGCACGAACCAAAATATGCCTTTCTTCAGTCGTTTGATAGCAAATCACGTCATTTTTATTTTTTATACTCGAGGAAGGCGTATAATTAGGTTTTTAAAAAGCTGTTTAATGCCCGAATAATGTGGAGCCTAATCAGCCGTTGCATTAGCGCTTGCTTATTTCAGTCTACAAGGTGTAAGAGTTCCGCGTAAAGAAAATTACATACTCTTTTATGCTTTTAAAAGGATACCAAACAGAGCCCATACAATTTTGCAATGGATGCGGACTCTACTGTACAATTCATGAGGAGCAGTAGTAAAAGGACAGGTATGATGCTGTATGAAAAGACATCGCACGGTCTTAAAAATTCTCATAAATAGAAACTTTTTAAAACCTAATTATACTCCTCCTTCGAGTATAAAATATGAAGGTGGCGTGATTCTCTATCGAACGATGTGGAAAAAGTATATCTTTGTTCGAGGTTTCTATAAAAAAAGTTTAAGTTTATGAGACTATCAAAAATCAATGGGAAAAATGCATGCTACTTAAGTAGTCATTTTTTATTAAGTACGACTTCTACAGGATAGATAGAAGAAGTGCATTCAAAAGCCGGCACCCTGCCAATTCCGTAATATTATAGGATTATGCCGCAAGATAAGCAGTATTATAACTGTGTTGAAGTAATCCCTCCTAGTTGAAAATACATTTCAGAATTTCGGCCAGCATTTCATGAGGAAGGTCACCCACTGTAGGTCGGTTCTAATCAAAATCATATTACAGAATGTCTTTTAAAATTTCATGTGATAGAGATAGGTATTGTTTCATCTTAAAACAATTTTTACTTTCCCCTACTTAACATTTTATTGCCAGTGTATTTCTTAACTATTCAATAAGGCGTAAAACAAGTAGTGCAACTTGTCGGATGCAATATTCGGAAGGCTGCCATCTGACAGAATAACTCGGTCTTCTTAGGACTGAGAGGCGGGCTGCAGTGACTCTTTTTCAACTGGGCCTTTAGGGCATTCTCGCTAGCTTCGAATCGAAACGACCGGGTCGTGTGTGACACGCGTATATGGGCTGTCTGACTGCTGCGCTAGGGGCCAACCTCCGGTCGTACTGATATGCACTTGCCATCGGGGCACGGCAGTTAGGGGAATAGAGGGTGCGGTAGATGACGCTAAATTCTGCCCAGCATACAATAGCTCACATTGTAAGCACATTGTAGTCACCGGTACCGCACCCACCCTGCGGGGCACACGGTAGACGTCGTTTTTGACGGTCAAACAATCACTGTGGTCGCAATCACTGTGCCGGCACTGTAGTCACTCTGCTCTCTCTCTTTCTCTCTCAAAAATAACTGCTACATGATATCCATTTTGCGCAACTCTAGAACGGCCGTGCTCTCTGACTCGACTAGGGCTAATGTGTGCAGGTAGTTCTCACTGGATGTGGACGTGCACGTCGTTTTTCAAAGTTAGGGACCCATCCGAAAGTTTGTCCTAAAATGGCTCTTTACGGCGGTCGCTTCTTCCCCTCCGCCCTTAGCGGATGACAGCCCTGGGATGTACATTTTCTCATCGATAGCCATAACTCACGTGATCTCTGCTTTTTCTTCACCCTTAATACGGGAAGCTGTGAGTCCAGTTTAACTGCTATAAGCTGTTGCGCTCCATCCTTTCAGAAGCATTTACAGCTCATCTAAGTTCATTTTTAAGTACTTGGCATTTTTGGTTGTATTTCCCCACAGTTTAGACTTAGTAGTTTCTTTTTAGTGCTAAACGGAGTGCTGCCTTCGATCTTGGGAGAACAAGCCGGCAAATCTGCTGCACCGTAAACATGAATAAACATTTCATTTTATTGTTCTTCCTGATTTTCCTCATAAAGCAAGTAAGAATGCATACTTTCTAGCG